ATATTTTCATTTTTTATTTTATAGTTTGACTTAAGATGAGATTATAAATGCACTTATTTTAACAATTCAAAACAAGAACTTGTTAATCCAATTTGTGAATGTTCATTATAAAAATGTAATAGCTCATGAATCAATTGCAATATATTCAAAATATCTCACATGAACCCATGAAATCAAAAGAAAACAACAAAATACATCCACACACACACATATCAGAATACATTCAAATTAAGACCAAACTGAAACCCCATTCAAAACACATCTACCCATCATTTGTTATTTGTAAAACTTCAAAATAATTTAGGATCCTCAGTTAGGTTTGTGTGTAGTAGTGCAAACCCTATTTTCCATACTCCAACCCCCACACGTAAAGTATTTAGCAACAAGATATTCTATTTTTTGGGGGCATTGTTGATGTGTAGGCACAAGGATTTGGAAATAAAGAATGGAGACTTTGAAATGAATTAAAGTGCTTGTTGCAATGTGACCTTGAAGGAGTCCCCGCTACAACTCTTCTTTCTCTCTCTCTCTCTCTCTCTCTTTTCCTTTACCTTTTATGTTAATTGTTGCTTCTTTTGTTGCTTCTTTTTCACTCTTCTTTTGTTTTCTTATCCTATTAAATTAGTAATGTTTGAACAAAGACTGCCACTTCGTCAAGTACCTTCTTTTGTCCTCAAAGTAAGAGAAAGGTGTTGAAGGAGAATGTCAACAATGGGGGCTAAAGACCCAACTCATCCTCATTTCCTCGAAACGAAAATGGCTCTCTCTCTCTCTCACTCACACACACACACACACACTCTACTACACAGTTGCATTACACTCTCTCCCACAATAGAACTAATAGTGAGAAAACTTGTTTTTCTCATTGTGACGATGCATAGTTCTTGTGTGGGACTGCTTAGTCCCTTTACTTGCATGCATGCAAAGCAGGAAGTCCAGGAGGGGGGGGGGGGGGGGGGGGGGGTTTTTTTAAAACAAATTTGGGGGAAAAAGGTTTTTTCAGGGGCTTTCATGGAAAATTCTGGGAACTTTTTCCCCTTTTCCAAAGGCCTTTTTCATGGGCTTCAGGGGTGAAGGCAACTCCTTTTTTCCCAGGGTCAAGGGCAATTTTGGGGGGCGGCCCCAAAAAATTTTTTGGGGGGGGGGGGGGGGGGGGGGGAAAAATAAAAATCCTCTCTTTCTCTAATTTTCAAATGAGTGTTTTCCCAAAACCCCCCAATATTTAAGACAAAATTTTTTCCCTTTTTTGTTAAAAAAAAATTTTGGGGAAAAAATATAGTTAATTTAAAATAAATCAATTACTTGATAGAAATTTTGTAAGGAAAAAAATATTTTAAGGATACAAGGTAATTAAATTTCATTGAAAAATGAAATTTGATATTTTTAATGTAAACAAGCTATCTAAAAAAAATAATTTTTTAGTCAAATATAATACTCAGGGTAATTTTTTCCTTAAATTCTAACACTAAAAGTTTATTTATTTTTTAAAAATGTATCTAAGATTTATTTGAAGTATTAATAATTATTTTCTAATATTTTAGATTAGTAAGATTTTACATGAACACTAAGATACTAAAATTTTATAAAAAATTTTGAAAAATATTGATGAAAAAAATAAATAAAATAGAACAAACTTCAAATACATATAATATGATTATAAAATAGGTAAAAAAAAATAAAAATAATCATAATACATTAGAATAAAAAATATTCTAGCTAAGGAAAATCATACAAATATTATATTTTAACATTAATTACTATTACGATTTTGTGCATGATTTTTATTAAAAACTTAAATCTTATTTTTTACATCAGAAAAATATATATATATATATATATATATATATATCTGTTTATTTATTTATTTATTTTAAATAAAATATTACTATAAATCATAACTATTTATTACAAAAAATATTTGGTATGTTTTAGAAACAAATCTCCAGAACAAATTCTCATAAGATTCAATGTAAAATATTATCAAAGATATTCAGTTAAATGGTAATAGTCTATTTAATACTAGATTTTAAATAGTCTGAAAAAAATCGAATTTGTTTTCTTCCACAAAGTTTAGAAGATTCTTTGAATTCTACACTAGAATAAAACATTATTAAACAGCTATAAAATTTGCTGTACGTTGAATTTTAAAATTCTTTTTAAAGAGAACATCATAATTTGTTTTTTTTATTAAATTTTTCTAATACATGGAATAGCATTTTACAAGCTTTATCATAAGTTTTTTTAATTAATAAGATAAAAATATTTATACTCATACTAAGAACATATATAGCTCAAATCCGAAAATAGTTTCAGTTATTACACAAGGTTAGAAATCATGGTTAAAAATTTAAGCATATAAACACCACTATTTTCTTTTCTTTCAATATATCTCTTAAGTTTTATTCTTATTATTGACTTAGAATTATATACTCTATATAATATGTAAAAAAAGTAATTTAGAAATATTATTTTTTTTATTGGAATAAAAAAATTGTAAAAAACATGTTGAGTGGGGTTACAACTTGTGGTGGGAATAGCAATACCCTATATATATATATATATATAAAAGAAATATTTAGAAAAAAAATATCTGATTTTTAATTATTAAAATTTAAAATATGTACATAAAATTTTAAATAGATAGATACGTGAAATCCATTTATTTTTATAAATATTTGGCCATTTGAATTTAAATCAAAAAATTTAAACTTACAATTCAACAAAAAATTATAACTCATTTAATTATTACCTTTAAAATTTATTATTTATTATTTATAAAATTATTTTTAATATGTAAAATAAAATAATATATTAATTCAAATAAATTAATCATACAAGACAAACTAATGCAATGAGATGTAAAATATACTACTAAGTAGATGAATATTTATATTTAAATATAATAGATTGTATTAAAATTTAGAACTTCTAAAATTACCTAAAGAATTATAATCATAGAATGATATTTGAAGATGTATTAAATTTTAATTCGAAGATGTGTAATATCAAAATCATACTTAATAAAGTTGATAATATATTTATAAAATTATAGGATTTATTTTTTATTTTATTAAAAAAAACTAGATTTGGATAATAATTTTTTAAAATTTAAAAATATAAACACTATAAAAATTTATTTGCTAATTTTGTAGCTTATGTTATTGCTTCAAGATATTGCTGTTTATTCATAAAATTTAAGATGTTTTTGTTTACTGAAATGTTATATTTTATTTTAGATTTTATTTTAGATTTTACTAATCTATTCTAATTATGAAATATAGAAAATTTCGATTAGATTTTTTTAATGAAAATTTGATCCTGATATTTGATTAAATAAATCTAAAAAAAAATCATAATTTTTTTTTTGCAACAAATGAATAAAAAATAAAGATAGTAGTGATATTTTAAAAATAAGTAAGAATTTATTTTAAAAAGAAATCTAGTATTTAGAAAGTCATAATTGCTTTATAATTTAGTATGATAGATTACATAAGTAGATTATTGATATCAATGCAAAAAATTAAGCTAAGATAGTAGTAGAAAAAATATTAAAGGTATATCATTTAAAATATATTATTTAATTATATTTTTAAAATAAAATAATGTCTTCAATAAAAATCTATTTTTATTTTTGTACATCTTTAAAAATCATTTTGAAGAAAAAACATGGTGAAAAAGTAGTCAAGGAAACAAGAAGAAATATAAAACATTAAAAGATTCTAAAGAGTACTATAAATAATCACTTTCTTCTATCTATATCCATAAAAATTTTAGAAGGCCCAAAGAAAGTTAATACAAATGGTATCTCACCACTACTTTCTTCTATGTGCGTAAAATCCAACAAGATCGAATACACTCACACAGGTATGACTTTACTCTTGATTAGCTATGAGTAGTACTGTACAACTTTTCCATTGTCACACCACTAAAACATAACTAACTTTGAAGTTATTGTGGATGGTGTATAGTACAATAGTAATTTCACCCAATGCAAACAAATCATCAAATAATGTTAGTTCAAGATTATTGTTAATTGCACCATCTTAGGATTAACAAATACCAGTAATACCCAAAGATTTAAAAAAAAAAAAAAAAAAAAAAAAAAAAACCATCTTCATATTACACAACAGCCAACAGAAATGTAGCATCAACAAAACACCAAGTTACACACCGTCACTCAATGATACTCATAATAGCTATTTGATAACATAATCATAAGATGCGTAAGATGGGTTATAGTTATCATTTTGGGTACTATTCTATATCATGTAAGATGGAGGTTGAAGGAACTCCCAAGTTTAGGGCTCTCTCTTTCTCCCATTTCCCCCACTTCTAGAGTTGGTCACCCAATACGTGGAAGAATGTGAGTTTTTTTCTACTATTAATTCCACGCCGGCAGTGATCACGTGCAAGCAGATCATGGAAGCTAGGAGGTGAAATCGTGAATGAAGCACACACACACACACACGAACATCTCGTCCTTTGGGGTGGCAACTATTCTGGTGTGAGAGGAGGGTGTGTACAACAAGTCTGGCAGCATAATCAAGGCTCTTTGTGGATTGACTAGTTGCCGGAGTGAGGGAGGAGTCATGAGCCTATCTTTCCAGCTAGGAGATGGAGGAGGAGGAGGAAGCAGAACAATTTTCATGAAAGCTAAGCAAAGCAAAGCTAAGCAAGGATTCTATGATGACCGTGCCTTGGACTGTCGACATGAGTCAAGGGTCTCGTCCCGAGTCTCGCACTCCCTGTGCCCTTTTTCTTCCACACTCCGCACACCTTCCAGGATTTTCCACGATTTTTCAAACTCCTTTAGCTCGCACATCGCACCCTCTTTCCTGGCCCTGCCCGCCACAGTCGCTTCCACAGACAACCGCAGCTTCTTTTTGATATTCTGGTGATTTATCTACAGGCTGCCATCAATATCTATGTATTTGTGGCGGAATGGGTGCTAATTGGTGCAGTTAAAGGTGCCGAACTTTTGGAACACGGAGGTCTGGAATCCTCTGAAAGGTGGTTCATTCTGACGCCATATTGTATAACCGTGGGTCAGATTCCTTGAAACATCCCTTTTTGCTGACGACCATAGAGTTTGAGTTGCTTTTGCGGCAAGTTCGAATGCACTTCCTCACAATATGGGCCGTGAGTTAGAGCTTATCATAATGTTTGAATACTCTACCCACAAGTTTCCTTGTGCCACGCTGGTCGCTTGGCTGCGATTTTCTGACTCGGGTGGGAGAAAAGTCAGTCCGGAGAGCATTTACTGAGATGCATGGAAGGCAGTTGTCCAAAATCCACCAGAAGGTGACTGCAAAGTTGGCATCTGGTCAATTAGTAGGGAGGTGAGTTTGCTGGTGAGGTAAAGCAAACCCGATTTAGCTACACCAACTCCACTCCTGTCTGCGAATCGGTTTCGCTGGTAATGCTAGTGCGTTTTCCCAGTGTGAGGTCACTTTTTTCGCACGATTATGGCACCCACTTGGCATGAGTTTGATCGGCAGTTTGAGAACTGCCAAATTGATTAAACGAAGATGAAGGTGGCTGTGTGGAGGTGGTCAAGGTCCACGGTATGAGATACTAATCAACGAGGACCTGTTACTGCTACTTTCTCCGTTGCTGTCGCGACGTTGTTGCCTGTAGCTTCCTCGTATTCCACCACTTCGACCAGGGCCACAATTGTTTGACCTTGAGCGGTCGAGTAGCAAGATTGTTACACCATCATTGTGAAGAACCGTGCTGTTCCGAAATGGCTGGTTAGTATGCAGCTACTAGCCCGAGAGCTCCGTTTCTACTAACCCTGTCATGGTCTTCGGTAAACACAGTGAGAATGCGGTATTATCACTGCGTATTGCAGGATATTGCAGGATACAAACGCTTCTCACGTACATCAACTACATTCAGAAATGACTTTCGATGCGTGATCCGACTAGCTTTCGTCAGATTTCAATAAACTAACCGTGCAAACGTAGACAGTCGGCCGATGCTGTGGCTACTGCTGAGCCAATTGGGTCTGATGCTGGAGTGGCGCAACGAGTTTGAACAATTTCTTTGTGGATCGTCAACGTTGAGAGAGCTGCACGCTCAGACACACACTATAGTCAGTCGGTCGAACCGCAAGAGATCTTTAATCGACCTCTCCCGCAAGACGAAACAATTCAAACCTATTTGCTTAGTATGAACTCTCAGCCATTTTTGATTCATTTGCAAGTTTTTGACCGAAGTTTCGATCCGGTTTTCGAGACGTCCGTGAGGCTTTGTCAGCGATGGAACCTGAAGACCAAGAAAATGAGATCGTAGTTGAAGGGAGCATTCCAGATTACCATGGACACAACTTCGGGCTAAAAAGTAGTGACTTCAAGGAATCCAGACGCAACAACGCTGGGCTGTGCGCGTTTGCTTCCGTCCATTTAAGCATGTCCTTGTGCACCGTTGGAAGCTGGCTCCTGTTTCTTTGCCTACTTGGCTCGATTCTGCCTCAGATTTCATTTGCTCTCAAAGTTGTGGGTTCACCCCGAGCGGATGATAGAGGGATGCAACCAGTTGCGAGAAGAAATTTGAGCTTCAGCAGCTTAAGGCGATATCACCTTCGAAGAGGTAAGCAAGGAGTCCTTCCAGTTCGAGTCCTCAAGTCCTCTTTCTCGGCGTTCGAAGGCAATTTGAATTTGTAATTAAGTCTACAGTAGGACAAAGGTGACTGATTCATGAACTCATTTCGCTCAGAATTAGAACCATTCAACATCTCTGTGGGACTGAGCTGGGACGAATCCATTCTCCTTTCGTGGCGAAACAGCAGCAATGACCTTAAAGCATTATGGATAGAAAATCAAGATTCTGGTCCGTGTGACTGGCGCGGAGTGACCTGCGGCTATTGGCGAGGAGAGACTAGAGTTACAGGTGTAAACGTCGCCTCTCTTAACTTCACTGGAGCAATCCCCAAGCGAATCAGCACCCTTGCGGCGCTCAATTCGCTCTCCTTCGCTTCCAACAAACTCAGCGGTAGCATACCACCCGATATTGGAAGCTGCGTCAATCTCAAGGAGTTAAACCTTACAGACAACCTGCTCACGGGGCATATCCCAGTTGAGCTCGGACGACTTGTGCAGCTACAGAGCTTGGATATATCCCGGAACCGCCTCAATGGGACTGTTCCACCTGAGCTTTTCAAGAATTGTAGTAACCTCGTCACCTTCAACATTTCATCGAACAATCTCACTGGTGCGCTTCCGACCGGGCTTGTCGATTGCGCAAGCTTACGAATCGTGGACGTTGGCAACAATACTCTTCAGGGACAGATTCCTTCATCGTGGGAACGGCTATCTAATCTCGAGGAGCTCATCATGGCAGACAACCTTGAATTAAATGGGACGATTCCTCTCTCTCTTCTCTCCAACTGTCAATCCCTGAGAAAGCTAGACATGGCATGGAATAGGTTCCGGGGACCTCTTCCGTCACAACTCGGCAACTGCAGTAACTTGGAGATGTTGATCTTGCAAGGGAATAAATTCGATGGGTTGATTCCACGTGAGCTCGGAAATCTCAAGAAGCTGAAGGTGCTCGGTCTAGGGAACAACAACTTGAGTGGTGAGTTGCCGCAAAACATCAGCCAGTGCAGCTCCTTGGAGCTTTTGGATGTGGGCAACAACGCCTTCACAGGTGCAATCCCACCATGGTTAGGTCAACTGGCAAACCTTCAGTTCGTGACGTTCCAAATCAACAAATTTTCGGGGACGATTCCCGTGGAGGTGACAACACTGACAATGCTGCGCTACATTGATTTTAGCAACAACTCTCTCCACGGCAGCGTCTTGCCCGAGTTTAGTCGGGTGGATAGCCTGCGACTCCTACGCCTGTCGTTCAACAATCTGACGGGAAACATCCCAGAAGAGCTCGGGTACATGTACAGGCTTCAGGGCTTGGATCTGTCATCGAATTTTCTCAATGGATCCATCCCAAAGAGCTTCGGCAACCTGCAGGACCTCCTGTGGTTGCAGCTCGGAAATAACTCTTTGACGGGAAAAATCCCGCAAGAGCTTACCAACTGCTCCAGTTTGATGTGGCTCAACTTGGGACACAATTATCTGAGAGGTCAAATCCCTCACAGCTTCAGCAAATTAGGGTGGGACTCGGAACGAGTATTTCGCCAAAACGAACAGAATCCATGGATTCTGGATGGAGTGGGAGAATGTTCCATACTGGCAACATGGGCACCGGGGCGATCCCAGCACTTCGAATCGCTATTCGACATTTCGGACACTCAGAAATGTCACGTTTGGTTGCCGCTGCTCGTCCGCGGTGGCTTTAAGCTCCGCAGCGATAGAATCACTGGGAATAGCAAGGTGCTCAGTTATTGGCAACTGGGGAAGAACTGCCTTAATGGTGCATTTCCCGATGTCAAAAACGCTTCATCTTTGGGGTTCCTCATCCTCTCTGAAAACAGATTGAAAGGCCCAATTCCCAGGGAAATCGGCAATCTCCCGCTTTACAACCTCAATATATCGCATAATTACTTGAACGGGTCCATTCCAGAAACATTAGGCGACGCTTCCTTGCTGATAACCCTAGACATGTCGAACAATAGCCTCTCCGGCCCGCTGCCGCTGTCTCTCGGCAAACTGACCGCCCTCTCGGTGTTCAACGTATCCTACAACTCACAATTGAGGGGGGCGATTCCAACCGAGGGACAGCTCTTGACTTTTGGGTGGGATTCTTTCATCGGCGACTACAATCTCTGCTTGAACGACGCCGATCCTTTGTATAAGCAAGCCTCGAACAATTTGAGTCAGTCGTCTGCAAATGCACCAAAGTTATGTAGCCAAATGTACAGCGCAGTTTCTAGCGAAGAGGAGAGGCGATCTTCGAAGAAGAAGAAACTCGCAGTCGAAATTACTGTAATGATCCTTACGAGCGCATTGTCGGCGCTTCTGTTGCTGAGTTCCGTATATTGCATGGTGACGAAATGGAGGAAGCGCATGGCCACAACGAAGGAGGGTATGGATCCCTACTGGGGTGATTTTGGCTCAGGGAAGTCGCACAGGTCAGCAGCAGACAGCAAGAGCAGCTTCCACTCCCCGGTCGAATCCTATGTGAATTTTCCCTGTTTGAAATCCTTAACATATGCGCAACTGGTGCATTGCACAGGCAATTTTAGTCCGGAAAACATAGTTGGAGATGGTGGGTTTGGAATTGTGTATAAAGCAAAGTTGGGAGATGGGACGACGGTGGCAATCAAGAAGCTGGTGCAAAACGGCGCTCAAGGCCTTCGTGAGTTCCGAGCTGAGATGGATACGCTCGGCATGATTCAGCACGAGAACCTCGTCTCCTTGCTGGGGTATTGCTGCAACAACGACGACTTGCTCCTGGTTTACGAGTATTTCGTGAACGGGAGCTTGGACGACTGGTTGTACGAAAGCGAAGAGAAAGCTGCCCGCCTCGGCTGGTCGCTGCGTCTGCGTATCGCTTTGGAAACAGCTCGTGGACTCGCGTTTCTACACCACGAGTGCGTACACCTCATCATTCACCGTGACATGAAGTCCAGCAACATCCTGCTCAACGAAAATTTTAAGGCCGTCCTAACTGATTTCGGCATGGCGCGCATCATGGACATTGGCTCCACACATGTGAGCACCATCGTGGCCGGCACACCGGGGTATGTGCCCCCAGAATACTCCCAAACGTGGAGGGCAACCACCAAGGGCGATGTGTACAGCTTCGGCGTCGTCATGCTGGAGCTTGTCTCTGGGAAGCGACCCACGGGACCGCACTTCAACGGCCACTGCGGCGCTAACCTGATCGAAATGGCGAGGATTCTTGTTACCAGCGGCAGACCCAACGAGGTCTGCGATGCGAAATTACTTGAATCAAGCGCACCGCACGGACTCTCACTGTTTTTGGCGCTTGCCATGAGGTGCACCGAAACCTCCCCAACGTCGAGGCCCACGATGCTTGAGGTTGTAAAAACGCTAGAATTCATTTGTAAAATACAAGGTTCTGCAACGGCTTCACAGCGAGATGTGGATCCACTGGATCCGCTGACGCTGTGACGATCGATACATGACTCATAACAGATGCTGGTTGACGAATGCTTGTTTCTCGACCAGGCTCATAGGAATTTGTATTCAACGTAGAGATGAGTGATCGCGAGCAAGCTAGATGTAAATTGTAGCGATTCGTGATTCTAATTTAGCAGCTAGCTTGGTCTTGAGCAGGCCAGATTTTGTAGAAGTGGAAATCCAATTGCTTTAGTGTACAAACTTCTGATCCATCGAGTCCATCTGATCAAACCTGGGGAATACAGCTTATCTCTATGAGCATTGTGTAACGTGCAATTCGTCAGACGCGTTGCTACGGCGGAAGTAAAATGAAACCTGAAGGGAACACTGACATGAATGGATCACACAAATTGACGGATGGCACACTTGCAGAACACTGATGGAATTTTGTGCACTGGTCGAGTTTACACTCGCGCAAGCGCATGATTCTGAAGAGCATCTGGTTAAGGGTTTAGGGTTTGAAATCTGAGGCATTTTTGTTATGTTAGTGTTCCAAGTGACATTCATTTTGGGGTGGATAGAGGGATATAGACACTATTGCTTAAGTTAGAATTTAGGTCTTTGGACCAAAATCATAAGAGCTAAGTGAAGAACTTGCTAAGAAATGTTCATGTTTGTAATCTTTGCTTGTGATTGCTAGAAGGTGGAATAAATAGAGAAAAAAATTGGGTCTTGTAGTTTAGTGTTTATTGTGAATTAATGTATGCAAGGAGCTTCAAAATTACTATAAGAGGTTATTTTAATTAAAATTATTTTGTATAAGTAGGTATGTTGTATATAGAGAGATGTTTTTTTAGCATCTAAGATAGTAGTAGATAATTTATTGATTGTAAGGAAGTAATACAAAATATAAGATTATGCTTGCTAATGGCAATCTTAATTGCACTAATAGTTTCACTTATTTTATTTAGATAATTTTTAAGGTTACTCTTAAATATAATAATAAAAAAATAAAAAATAAAAAATAAAATCTCTTGTGTGAGGTTATAATTCAATATATTCTCAAAGAATAACACATGATATAACAACAAAAACAAACTACTAATTTATGTTATCTCACCAAAATGTATTTAATATCCATTATACCAATATAATTGTATAAAATATTATTATTTAAATCAAACTATTGTATTAAAACTTTGCATGTTTTGTGGATTTATAGATTAAGGCATCAATTTAGTTTCTAAATATTTTTCAGATTAATGAATTTCCCATTGTTTGCTACAACACAAAAAAGAATCATATTTATATATATTTAAAATAAATATATGTCAAAATAAAGACTCAGATTGTAGTTTTGACAATTTATGAAAGATGATGTTTGTTTGTCCAAATAAACATTTAGATTGATGTAAATGCAAAAAGTTGTCTAAAAGAGACTTGCATAAATAAATATAAATAATTAATCAAAAAAATATACAAACAAGTCAATAAATTGTAAAAGAGTTTATCCATTCAAAAGACATAATGATCCAAATATAGGCTTATTATTTTATAATAAACCTGTTTTAATAATAATCTCAATGATATATTCTAATCAAGTTGTATTAGCTTTTGCCATTTTTATATAAATATAAAAATCTATTAATTATTTTATTAGTAAAACTAGAAAAATAATAATACAAATAAATCCTTTTTAGTATTTTAGTTAACCTATTGGTAGACAATATAGATTTTAAACTAATTAATCTTTTATAAGACTATTACAATAGGTGATAACTACTATACTTTGCTAATTAAATTAACAAACCTCTATTCTAAGAGTTTATTAATTTTTTTTATTTCTTCAGTAAGATTTTTATTTAATATATATCAAATCTAATTTTATATTAAATATTTGAATTAAGATTAGTCTTAGGGTCTACTAGCTCTATAGAAATAGACTTGAGTTTTTTATAAGATCAAGCAACCACATTGGAATATTTAACCACAATAACTAAGACAAGTTTAATTAGGTATTTTTTCATATATATATATAAATATATATATATATATATATAATAGCTTTGAAACTAATTTTATAAAAATATATCTTTTTATTTTATTTCAATCCATGCTATTATACTCGAATTTAAAATTTTAAGATAAGCTAATGTATTATATCTTTTATTACTAATTTATTAGAAATGATAGTCACAAAATTATATACATGACATCTTTGACTTTATTTTACATATTTAAAAGATTTAAAGAAAATCTCAACTTGATTGATTGATTAGAAATTATTTAATTATTTGTAAATAATAAGAGTTAAGATGGGATGTCAATAAGTCTAATTTGAATATTTTCCTATTAATTATAAGGTTTATATCCAATATATTGTTATATAAAATATTATTTAATATCCTATTATTGATATAAACTAATATGATAAAATTCAGGTTATTTGAATGACCTTCTTTGTCATGGCTTCTTCTTATAATGAGAATAGCTATTATCGTTCTCAACTTAAATACATATGTTATTGCAACACTTATAAATATAAACTATTGAGTTTGTTAAGACACTTATAATAATAAATTTTTGTAAATTATGTGCATACTAAATTTAAATGGTCAGATTTATTTCAGAAATATTTACATGGAAGCAATAGTAATGGTATTCTTATTGATATTCTAGTGGTTTTTATTACATATTATTCTAACATTAGGTTGTAATATAAATATGCTTTATCATCATAAGCACTTTTTATGTTAATGATAGAGTTCAAATTAGTATATCTATTTAAATAGTTCAATTTTTTGGATATATTTATTTTAGATTTTTATATAAAGTCTATAAGTATTTATCTATATATAGGAGTTTTATCAATTAGAATTTGTAATTACTCATTTTACTTATTCCAAATTAATCTAATGGAAATAAACCCGTATAGGGAGATTTGAACACGGGGAATGACTAGTTGCTTAAGCGTTCACGTTAGGGTCACACAATCAATTACCTCCTGAATGTATCGTCTCTATTTCCAATATCTGAACACACAAGGAAACTATAATCTCTTCCTTCACCTTATTAGTCTCTTCCTTACAACAATTCAGTCATACCAATAACTGCTATTTCCACCAATATATTCACCCTCATAATCTCCAACTGTAATACTGCGCCCTCATAGCTTTCAGCACACAATTACACTCATTCCAATCACTGGAATTCTTCACACAGAACTGCCATTCACATTACGGTGTTTTACACAAACATAGACTCATTCTCTCTACTGAACTATAATCAGATTTCAGCATTCAATCTTTCTTCTTCTCAAATAATACCAATCACATTTCCATTCCATAATTCACTTCACAATATTTAAAAACTCTCAATCGTCTTATTCAAAAAAAATAACAAACAAAAGAAAAGAGGTAGCACCAAGTTTACTCCGGCTCACACTATCACAGTGATGGCCCTTGGCTCATGACTATCACAATCTGGCACCTGAATTAACTTCTATAACTCCTATATACTTTCCCCTGATTTTCTAGATTCTAACCATAATTCTGTAATTAACCACTTTTAAGAACTAAATCACTCATCCATCCTCCTAAATTTCCTATTATATGGACTATTAATATATTTTATCAATATCTTTCAAAAACGAATTAATATCTATTCTACATAGCTCCACTCCTATCTGTACAGCGTCCTCGCAAATATTCAATTGATACCTATCTAAAAACTACTTAACAAATCTCCACAAAGTTACTAGTTCCTCTAGCCCACCTAATTAATCATTTGCTGCATTATCTAATGTAGGTTCGACCAAATCTGGTTCCAATTGCACATCTTCTTCTTCTTCCTCCAGTCCATCCACTCCTTCCTCAACTAATTTGATAGATCTTCATTATACTCACCCAATACACTGACTTGAGCATCCAGTTTCAAGATCTGGACATCCCTCAATTCCAATTGTTGTTGCTGCTGACTCATCTATTCTGGAATATCTTCAATCAACACTTGTGACCGGCTCCTCACTGTTAACTCTTAATTGGAACTACTCTCAAAAATACAAGAAATACAAGAAAATGGCATTCCAGCCAATCCAAAACAATATCACAGAATGACTTTAACTGGTGCCCTACTCCTATTCTTTTACTACTTGGTGATAATGACAACATGTTACCCATATTGTCCGTGAAAGGTAATGGGAAGTAATCTTTCTTGGTGGCGGCATTAAGTTTCCAAAAATCTTAACAAATTCGGATTTTTTCATTCTTTTTTGGTACCATCACGATTGGCGACATCCATGCACTATGCGGAACAAGATAAATAAAATCCAAGTCAAGAAGTTTATCCAATTCCTCTTTCACTAAAAGAGAATATTTTGGGTTAAGGCGATGTTGCCTCTGTCGGACCGGTTTAGCGTTCTCTTCTAAAATGATATGATACTCATAGACTTCAGCGGGAATACCTTTTAAATCATCATAAGTCCAAGCAAAAGTGGATTTATGATGTAAGAAAAATTCGGTCCAGCAGGTGAAATCTTGTTCTTTAATACCTTCATAAACCTTAATTGTCCGAGGTTCTGCTGTGGTCGCCAAGTTGATAGTTTGACATAAAGGTGCAATCGCGATGTTCTGTTTCAATCCCCGCGCTAGTTTAAAGTCAGTTGGTAAGTTCGATATGTACAAAGTACTAAATCTTGTATCCAAGGCACTAACATGGTGCACATCATACTTGGTCATCCAATCAGTACTAACATAATCCAAGTTTTTCGAGTCCGTCGGCTATATCAAATACTCCTCCGGACCTCCACATTGGTACATCACTCCAGGGTGTAGTGTTGCCTCCACGGGCGCCTTCGTAATTGATGCTATTGCGTCATCATCGAAGCTAAGCTCATCGTCCAACATTAATTCAGATGTTAGCAATTGAGACTTCCTATGATACTGTAGTGGGTACATTTGCAACACCATTTTGTCTCCGCCCTTGCCAATTATCAAAGTACCTTGACCCCAATCATTCTTAGTCTTTGCTTGATAAAGCTAGGGTCGTTTCAATAAAATTGGATATGATAAAGTCAAACGTTATAACCGAAAGACGATATAATCGATTTCATATGCAATACCGGCAATCATAGTTTGAACACTCTGTAAGATATCCATTGGTTTAACATAGCTATGATCTGCCATCCGTAATACCAATGTCATGGGTACTAAGTGTTCCAAATCTAAAGCATCTATTGTATCAGCATTCATTAAATTGACGCTGGAACCACCATCCACCGGAACACCCGAGATCATAACACCGTCAATCAAAACATCGATGGTTGGTGCACCTGAGTCAGGGTTCAAACTAACTTTACAAACTTCTTTATTACGGTGCCTATGCCATGTTAACGATGAATTCAATGTAGAATGACACTCTGGTGTGACTACTAGAAGTTGCTTCATAGAAATAGAAGGCCAAATAGCGACCAGATCCTTGAAAATATCATAGGATTTCATATTTAGGATAATTCCTAATATCCTCTTTCTTTTTATTGGTTTGAGTTTAACTCCGTGAGGTACGATATTCTTCCGCCCTGGACTCAGAATTGGAACAACAACCGAGGCTTCCTTGGAATTTCCGCCTTTGAGAGGATCTTTCAACAGATAGGACGTTTTTCAAAACTGCATAGAGATCAAAACTGCTTGGAACGGAACCAAAGCCTACGTAATTGGGATCTCATTGGGTTGTACCACCGAGTCAAGTCTCATATTGGGTATGAAGTCCATAACAGGACCTAGATTG